ATTACTATGTCCATTCCAAAACCACCACTCTGTATCTAAAAAAATTGTAGAAATAACAAGTAAAGCAGATGTCAGAATGACTTCGAAAGAATTTCCGTTTTAAATTGGATTGTTTTATAAGTTTGCAGAAGAAACGTTTGTAATTTAATCTGATTTTAGCTAAAATATAAAGTCAACGTGGAATTTGAAACTGTGCATATAATAAAAGTCTATCCGTTTGTTTCTAAATGAAAATGTAGAGTGTCCTTTTGACTGATACGGTTTTCGTAGATAAGCTCATTTTTCTTCTTACTGAACATTCGATTCATTTTATACAGTGTTTGAAAAACTTCATTGTTTTTTCCTGGATAAAGCATACCATCAGTCCATTCCTCTTTTTCAAGCTAGAGCGAGAATAGAACTGCGACAGCATTAGAGATATTTTGCTTAGGAGGTAATTAAAAACTGAAACTTGAGCACGTCCTGGAACCAGTTAACTTCAAACTGCAGTTAATGAATTTGGTTATTTGCTCTATAAACGAATTGGATAGTGGTATTCAGTATTATTTTTCTTGTGCTATCTCGACAGCGCAGTTGTGGGAACTGCATGCGTTCAACCCACTTGTTTTACCTATTAATATTATTGCGACTGGAAGTACACGTGGTAGATAGGCAGAAACAATATTGATATTCAATATAATAATATACCGATCAATTTCTATGGGTATATGGAGATTATTAATTCATTCAAGTCTGAAAAATTGATTAGTAGGAATAGACGCTCAGGTATATTTAAATATTTACATTTATTTTCCTTTTTAATGTGGAGAAAATCTCAATCAAATAAAAATGTTAGCCCAGTATAATTAGTATAGCAAGTAATAGTATTTCTTGTAATTTTTGGCAAGACATAAATAATATGCTTAGAAGTTTATTTTTTCCCATTAAAATAGAAAAATTCAACACAGAGCATAAACATTATAACAATTTAGCTTCTATCAAATAACCATTTTTTGGAGTGGAAAATTTTTCGTGGATTTGTCGAGGCACCTTTACAAAATCCGTGTGCTAGACATTACGAGCTTTTATTTTTGGCAAAAGGGGATTTTACCTTGCTTATATAAACATTATTGGCCATAAGAAACTAAAAGCATGATTGACGTAAATCTGTGGTAAGTTGGTATTTTATTTTATACTTAACCTTAAGCTTAAAACATGACAAGGTCGGGCAGTAGCGGAGGGCGTTTTATTAATACTAGTACCATAATTAATTCAATAACTAAAATCTTATCACTTTAAAACAACTGATTTTTTATTTAACATCATAGAATTTTTTATAAAATAAATGTATTTAGATTTGGTGGAAGGAAGTGGTAAAGGTTGTACATTATTCAAAACACAGGATAAGTGAAAATTTTCTGGGTCTAAAGACATATATGAAGCACTGGATTTGGTTGAGTAATGAAGGATGGATTTGTTTCTGTCTTATGCGAGTCGTTTACGTTTTTTGGCGATACGAAAGGATGAAAGTGGACTAGGTGGGTTGATCCAACAAAATGCTTATGCAAAAAAAAGCTTCAGGCTAAGCACTTTATTTTGAAGGATATATTTAATACATTTTTTACCGAAATCTGACAACTAGAATCGAAATTAGTAATATAAAAAAATCTTTTAAATATCCACTTCTATTAATAAAACATATACAAGGTCTTATTTCTCACTCTACATACCGTGTGTTATACGAACTGTTAACATCGCAAATATTTAGACAGATTGTGTTATTATCAGAGATTTTTGAATGTATTTATTTATTTACTTTGACTAGTGAGTAACTGACATTGGCGCATTCGCCATTTTTGCAAAAACTTAAGCAGTGAAAAATTTTCAATCTATCAGGGCTTTTTATTACAATTTTTATTGCTGTTGGCGGGGTTCCCAATCATTTACTGTTGCACAAGTCCCCGTTAGAAGCAATATCGGATAAAATACGGCGCTATGCATAAGCTGGACATAAGTAATAATTATGACGAGATGTATTAGGAGTTAGTTGTTTTCTAACATGTATAGCGCATTAGTAAGCTCACAAAAGCCGTGTCCAGACAGCCGTTCGCCAAAAGGTTACCCGTTGTGAGCTCAGGATGTTGTTCAATACTTTTGTTTTTAATACGGTAGAGCTAAGTACATAATTCACCACGGTTTTTAGTACATATAATTAATTTTTTTTTACCAAATTCTTGCGAAAAGATGATTTTAAGATCATTTACTTGTGCTACATAGAAGTTGCGACAATTTTATAACGTGCGACTTTTCACTTTCAAGGGCTTCGGTTATTAATGTTCATCGTTGCCTTCTCGGTACGAATCTTTAACGTTTACAGCGACAAATTAAATTTGAACGTGTCATTTTACTATACAACGTTCACCTGCTCTCAAATCTCAAATCGTACAGTGAACTACAATTAAAGCAGACAACATGATGATTAATATGTTTCAGTTATATTAACTAGCTAAGTTAGAGTTCATTAATATCGTTTAGTTTGCATACAGGGTGTGCTGGGATGAGAGTATAATGTGCAAGAATATGTATAGCATTCAAAAAGGTTTAAAAATTGTTGTACGTGTGACTCTAAATACGTTTCCTATTAGAGGAAGGATTAGAAAAAAAAAGTTGATTAAATCAAAGCCAGCCAAATGTAGTTTTTTAATTTTTTAAATGGTTTATAGGCATAATATTCTGTCTATTCAATAAATTTAAAAAATCGTTAGAAGTATTCACTTCACAAAATGCATGTATGGAAATTTTCTGCTCGAAGTACAATTTACAATACAGTGTAATCGTTAGAAGACCAAAGAAGTCATTGACGTAGAAATTTGTTTGCAATTTGCTATGCAGATAATTAAAAAATACAACTGCAATATTTCTTTTCATTAATACTATTTGAATAGATTATTTTCTTTTTAATAAGTATTGATTAACGTATGTTCGACAGATCAAACAGGTTTACTAAATGTGGTGGGTGTAAATCATTTATTTTCATTTATCCCAAAGAGTGATGGTTTCCTACAATGTCATTAGTTTTGTTTTTGGAGTTGCTCTTTAGCATACCTAATATTGATGTCACAGAGAATGACTTCAGATGCGGAATCTAGGAACATATTTAGATTTAATTTGACCTGTTTTCCAACCGCCGGTCTCCAGACAGGTACTGGTCCATCAGAAATTTATTTTTTAGTTCATATTTTCCTGAAGCTAACGTAGGATTACACGATTTATCAATCAATTGAAAATTGTTAATGAAATTTGCTCTTTGCCTCTAAATTATCCACATTTCACAATGTTCTGTGATAGTACATAATCTTGACATGGTTGTCAAAGAAAGAGATTCTATTCCAGTTCTTTGAACTGTAAGAACAGCAATTTTCTCAAGAGCAAAGGTCATCGTATGTTAAGACTGGATATTCAAACTCGTATATTTAGCACATATTTTTTTTTTTTTGATGATCTTAATCAATGTCTTTACTCTTTGAAGTCATCAAAAACAAGAAAGTTGGCAATATTTTAGTATCTGTAATTATAAATTACAAAGATGTGCTATTCGTTTCGGATCATCTTCAACTGTTGCTTAAAAAGTTTGGACAATATTGTCCAGAAATTTAAGATCTAAGAAAATTAAATGTTCTATATATTTAGATCCACTTACAAATAATAAGAGCACGTACTAACCATGAAAGCAAGCTATTATTGGGCTTTCTCTGATATAAAACAAATATCAAACATTAAATCTAAACCTCTTGTACAGGGTCATTCACATAATATTCTTGTCTTTTTTATCTTTCTATTTAGGAGAAAATGGTAAAGACCAAAGTTTTAGAAAATGTCCTAACAAAGAAATATATAAAAACTGTTTTTTTAAATGAAAAAGACTGTATTTTTTCTATTTTTTTGGATTCCTCTCGTTTTATAATTACAATAATACATGCCATATTTTGTTTTGATCGTTTACACAATATTTTGATTTATTTTCTATTGCTGCACATAGTAAAGATTGCCACGGGACACTGTGCGGGTATTTTTCAATAGCATCTCAAATAAGGCTGAAATTAAACAAAAACGGATTTCCAAAATTTCGGGTTGTTTCAAATATTTCGAAAACTAATCATGTTAGCCTTGATTTTTTAGAGACATAATGTTGGTCCCCTGATTACGCAACTTTGCCCCCATTTAAGCTACTTCGTACCTCTTACCCTTTCCGAGATCCCTGTAGTGTGAAGCGAATTTGTAACAGCCTGTATAAAAGCGTAAAAAAAGGAGGGGCAGAATTTTATCTGAATCCTTGTAGTTCGGTAGAAAATGAATATTCAGAAGTGAGCAAAAAAAGTTATGAAATTCACTACCTTTTTAGCCGAAAAAGTATTTTTTACTTTCAATTTTAAAAACAAAAGACATAAACCAACTTGATTCAGATTTCACATTAAAAAATAATAAACAGAAGTAACAACAGAATTTTCATTAATTTAGTTTTGTTTAATTTAATATCTCGGGGCAAAATAATATTTTTGAATTGCTGAAATTAAGCTTGAAACTGTTTCTTCATATTTTTTATAAATAAACTTACTGTTTTCTTTATTTCAATTTACATATGCTACTTAACAATTTCAAAATTTAATGAAAATTAAATAAACACTTGTTTATTCTTTCTTGTGCAGTATAAAAATTTATATTTATTATTACATGACTTATTTTGAAAAATATTAATGGTTTATTTTGTTGGTCAAAAAAAACCTCATCGTTTGGCAGTCTGCGAACGAAAAAGACTGGCAACCGCTGCTCTAGACTGGCATTAGTCCTTACTTTAACACTGTTATAAATCGTAGCAACCCTCCAATAAACAAACGTAGTTTTACTAAATACTTTTGTGTACTGGAGGAAAACTGGAAATAAAGCTGCTTTAACAGTCGTTTCAATATTAATAAATTATTGACAGTAAATGGTAAATGATCTAAAATCAAAGCGACACTCACCTTTCTCGTGGATAGCCGTCGTTCGTTTCAAACCCACCGACCCCAGGCGCGCACTTTTCGAAATCGTCGGGACCCAAACTACAAAACTTTCAGGAGCGTGCCTCTGACTCAGTTTCGACGCAGGATTGGATAACTTGAACACCCCGTCAGAGCGTAAATGAGGACATTGCGCGCTGAAATCTACTTTTATATATAGGGGAATCTCCCCTTTTGCCGGGCGCCCCCACCAGGATGGTCTTTTGGAGGAGTTACCACTCTGCACAGACATCTTTCGAAAAGGTTGGCGCGTGGGTGAGGTATTTCCAATTCGGCGGTGAAAAATTATCGGGATTTTGCCATTTGCTGAAAATTTAATCTAACCGTGTCGCGCGACGGTGCATCCTGACCATATGGGAGGCCGATGATTTATGGAGTTCATGGGATTTATGGGATGTGCACCGATTTATTGCCCATTACGTGAGTAATTGGGATTGATTGGATTTAAGAGCAGTTTAGTATGTATACGTGTATCATATTTATGTGTAAATATTGGGGTACTGAAATAGTCCTACTATCACATTTTCCGAGCGAGCAGTTTTCTGAATGATGTATCAGCTGATATAAATCAGTTTTGTTATATCTACACAGATCTTTACAATATGCACTTCCAGAAATTAAAATATGGAATATACAGGGTGTTTTTACAAGCTGTATGACAAACTTTCACTGGGTTCATTTCAAACTTTCTGTTTAGAAGTTACCAGCGTTTTAAAAAATATAATTTCATGTTTCAATCAAAGCAGCCTGAAAAATATAACAATAATTATTATTCGTGTCATTTTGTTTATTCGTTTGACACTTGGAGTTAAAGTGCTAAATAAAAAATGCATTTATTTACAACAGAATATGTAGATATTGTCTTTGTGCATGGGCATTACAATGGGAACGCCGGACAAGCAGCCCAGAATACCGACGAAGACATCCAAATAGACATAAACTTGCTCACATTTAGTGCATCATTTCGTAAGCTTCGAGAAGAAAGTAACTCCCGCTAAAAATTGCCATTCATCAAACAAATTAATGTGCAAAATGAAGAAGATATAATAGATGCTGTCATTGACAACTCTTCAATTTGTATTCAACGTATAACAAAAATCTTCATTTATTACCGAATCCGCATGCAATTAGATCAAGACGATTTCAGCAACGTTTCAGTGCAACCGTTTCAACAAAATTTGTTGCTGTACATGTTGATCGTTTAAAGTGAGACCTGTATAGAACCCTTTTGAAAAAAAACCTTTTTGATTTCATGGACTTTGAACTTTTATTTATGGGAACATATGAAACAGCTTGTCTACCATGTTGAAACCACTATCCGTCAGCAGTTACTTGAAAGAATTCAGGATGCAACTAACCACATAAAAATAATCCAAATCTAATGTAATTTCTCGACCAGAAGCTGGGAGCCAAATAAGTTTTCGTATGAATTGCTTCCAAGCCATCAATTCCATTTTGAAGCCACATTTCAAGAAGAAAGCCATCAGTGAATGACTTTGTAACATAATCTGGTGTACCTCAAGGATCTGTACTCGGACCCTTACTCTTTGTTCTTTTTGTAAACGACATCATGGTTGTTCTACAAGTACACCATTAAGATGACCTTAAGCTATTTTGCGAAATAAACACCATTGCCGACTGCTATATGTTACAGAATGCGCTTAATGTCATTAGTTTATGGTGTCTAAGTAATAATTTAACGCTAAATGCCTCCAATTGTAATATCATTACATTCACCAAAAAAAAATCTGTACTATTCGATTATAAATTAGATAATATAATATTACATAGACCCGATTACATAAAAAACCTTGGAGTTATATTTGACCCTACATTGTCTTTTACAAAACATATAGATATAATTGCGTCCCCATTTCAAGAATATGGGGTTCATAATAAGGAATTCCAAAGACTTCAGTATTTCTACATTACGATTCGTTCTAAATTAAAATATGCATCAATAGTTTGGAACCCAATTTATGCTAATCAAATTGCAACTTTGGAAATAGTACAGCGTAGGTTTATGAAATCAGCTGTGTACTTATTGGATGGTACATATCCCCCTCAGTGTTTTCCGCATGATCTATTACTTGAACGTTTCAATATTCATGTCCTTGCTAAACGAAGATCTGTTTTTCAAGTAATGTTTTTGTATAAAGTTCTACATAACATTTTGGACTGTCCAGGTGTTTTAAGTAATATTGATGTTAAAGTACCGCGAGCTAGAAGTAATAATGTTTTTAGTTTACCCGCAACACGTAGTAACATCCTAGTAGCATCACCATTGTATCAAATTGTTTCCAACTATAATAAGATAGAAAATAATGTCAATCTCTTTTGTTGTTTGCGTAATGATATAAAAAATGTTTTACTTACGTAGACATATCTGTCTTTTATAGTTTGTTGCCTTTTTATTTCGTTCTTTATATCTGTGTTATTTGTAAGTTTGTACTATTTTTTTTCTCTATTTTTTCATAGTTAATTTTTCTCTGTTTTCACTTTTTTATATTTATACTGTTATTGGGTATCGCCTGTTGGATATGTACTTTAAATAAATAAATAAATAAATAAATAAATAAATAAATAAATAAATAAATAAATAAATAAATAATGACACTCATCGCTTATATTGTTGACATCATTAAAGCGACTTTTCAAGAGCTCTGTTGGGACCTCTGCCCTATTTTCCTGATCCTGCTCCATTAGATTTCCATCCGCTGCTTTCCCTATTGAACAACATTGAGGAAACGTGATGACTAAATCGCGCTTCAAAATTGGCCTGGTGAATTCTTGACTTCCAAAACATCGGAAAATATCCTTGATTAGTTCGCATATTTTGTTTATTAAAGAGAAAAGAATTTTAAATTCATTAAACACGCTCATGTATTTATTTTTCATTATTGAACATTATTGATTTATTTTTTGGTATTTGCTGCAATTTTCCTTTTCTTCGCATTCTCGATGAAAACCTTGAAAATGGAACATCCTATGAATTGTACTAAAACGAGAATTATTTGCTTATATTTATTCACGTTCTGAACAAATGGGGAACATATTTTACAACTGCTTTGCTGGCGTATATGTAAGGATTAAAGAAAATTAGTGCATCTACTAAAATGAATTCCATTAGAACCTCAAATACCTGCATCGACATTATTGTCGGGTAGTAGCCTACCCTGACAAATAAACTGATGCTAGGTCACATACCACAAAATTTGAATCGTTTACAATGGACAAACACCGACATTTAAAGATAGGGTTAGGTATAATTGAAAACAAATTCAAAACCTTCAGTTATCAGCAACATGTTGCTCCATATTCGAAACAAGAGCGAATTTTTCGATACTTTTAACTGTTACATGCTCTTAATCGTAGGCGTCCCGATACATATCCATCAACGTTCAACACCGTTCATGTTTCCATAAAACAATTACAATTTTTTTCCGAATCGTTACAAACATTTGAATAGCTCTCCATTGGATTATATGCCCGTTTTTGTCTGTACCGTAACGTCGGATTGAAGAAACAATTTTTGATTAAAAATTAACCCTTACCATCGCCTGCGGATATCGCAAATGAACCGAGGCATATCGATCACCAGCAGCGGAGGATGCATGACCGTACGGTGTTAATGTGAAACATTACGTTAGATGTATTCGACTGCTCTGTTCATGAAGTTGCTTGTTTACTGAAAATGGATTGCAGTTCAATGACATGCGACTCTAGGTAACTCTGCTCTATAGCGACGGTATAGGCGACAATGAAAGCGATAAGAATAAGCAAACATTTTATTTTGGATTGAAAGTGCTGTTCCTAACATGTCATTTCTGACTACTGTGTACAAATTAAAAAACTCTTATATTGTTATTAAAAACGAATTTTTAACCGAGTACAACATTTGTTTTGAATGGTGTAGATATAAGAAAGTGTTTAGTGGAAATTTGTAAAAATGATTGGGAAATATTCTTTAAACATTCATTCATTGCATTGAAAGTGGTTTTTCTTTACATTGTGTCAGATAATAAATTGAAAAAAATTCCTCTGTTGTTTTGTGAGGCGTATTGCAAGAATTGAACAACTTCCAGCTAGAATTCACTACTGAGATGAGATCTCATGTCTATACGGAAATAAAATATTAATTGAATCGAAATTAAAACAAAAAAAAATTAACTTTCTCAAAATTCAAAATTTTAAAATCACAACAATATTTTTTAGGCGCCCAATCAATTAATTCATTCACAGCAATATATACAGGGTGGCCAAGACGTAGCGGTTTTGTTTTTCGTTTTTTGTTTTAGTGGTTGTTTACTGTCATATTGACATTAGTAGGTACGTTTTTTTTAATCTGATCTCAAAAAAAGACCTACGAACTGCGGCTCCTGCAAGCCTATCAAATTACTTCACAGGAGTTGTTTATACCTGATTACATAAAAATACAGTCCACAAAAAAAAAGGGTCTTTCATTAACAATACACAGGGTGTTACTTTGAGTGAGGCCATATTTATACAGAGGCTAGCTTTGACACGTATCAATAGTTAATTTTTTCAAATTCCGGCGTGAAAACTTAATTTCTTTTACCTTCTTTTAGCACTTTTCATACCTCGCCACTGGACAAGCAAGTGTAACCTCAATTACGGCCTGATTTAGCCGCGGCTCATGCACAATTGGAAACTGGGCTGTGCATTGTTGTCAAATCTCATATTTAAAGGAAAGCTTAGTAAAAAGCAAATTTCCACACCATTCGCCGTGAAGTACTGCTTTTTGGTACGCTACTTTGTTGAGTGTGTGTTCGCCACGAGCCCTATTATCCCACAAAAACAAATATTTAATTCTTTTAAATAAGATCTTTCCACAGTTGTTCCAGGAGCGTTCCTTCTACCGCAAGTTCCATGCAATTCGCGCACAGTCTCAGCTACATACTCTCTGTACTTGTTAATGTATTTTCACAGTCTTTACTAGCTCATACATCGTATATTTTGCAAATAATCATAACCAATAAAGTTATGCATTTACAATGTCCTCTAGAAACGCCTATGAAGAAGTACCTCGAATAAAATTTCATACATATTTAAATTCGATGCTACTGAAGACGCCGTTTCACTTTTCTCAGCGC